AATCAAATCAAATCAAATCAAACCAAATCAAATCAAATCAAATCAAATCAAATCAAATCAAATCAAATCAAATCAAATCAAATCAAATCAAATCAAATCAAATCAAATCAATCAATGAACACAATGTGTTTTAAGTACTTTGGATTGCCCATAAGCAACATATAAGACTGAATGCATCATGGAGCATCGATGCAAATCTTTTAACATTGAAAGAATATTTGGGTATTTGCCAGTTGAATAAAAAACAGTATAGGCTCTCAAAGATTCTCCATGTTTTGATGACGTAAAAGAGAAAAAAGTGCGCAAATGTTATAAAATCAATGCAAAGAATGAAAGATATGAAAATTATTTGATATATTTTCTGACGATTTTTACTCTGAAGACTGTTAAACGTTTTACTCTGAAGAGTACATGTTTCATAATGTTTGCTTTTTTCAGAGCCACTTTTAAGCTATCATGTCATTATGAACTCTTTGCAAAACATATATATATATATATGGAATAATCATTGTAAAACATAAAATTTACCAATAACGATACTTTACACGAACAACTCCGTTTGAAGTTCGTAAACCTCAAGCTCACATACTTGAAGATATTCTTGCCTGTTCAAGAATACAGTCACATACCGACCAAGCAAAAAAAGCCTTGGACAATCAAACTTTTTCAATTCACCGATTGCCAACCTTCCATCTTTTACGCAAAGCGCATTGTTTCGTCCGCCACTTGAACTATCATCCCCAACACTGATATCAAATGGATTGATTCTTTCTTGACCCCATGTTGCGCCACTTTTTATTTGGATACTTGTGACAGCAGCTTGCCTTGTAAGGTCCACCTGCCACCAGGGTACTATTTCTTTTTTGGTGATACTGCATCGCTGCCAGGCCCCAGTTTTGTTACCGTCATTTCCAAAGCTGGCAACAAATGTAATTCCACCATATTCATTAGCGGATGAATGCGAGGACGGTTTCTTATAAGCGATATTTCCTTGAATGCCTGGAATTGAATTCAAATCAAAGGATTTCATCTCAATCACAAAAACCACTTTCATTAAATTGAATCTCTAAAAAGTAGCAAAATGCTACATAATTTTTTCAAGCTCTCTTATTGCATTTTATTTTTATAAAGACATCTTGGAAAATACTATATTTTTTTGTTCATCTAACAGACTACATCATTTTCTAGTATACTTTTAAGTTGCAAAACAATAACACAAGGCCTGGTTGGCTACATATGTTATTTCCCATAAGGTTAACAAACATAAGCGTCAATGATTTCAAGATTTCTGACTGAATACAGAATCCAAGCACTCTTTGGGTAAAATTGTGCCTTGTGTTGATCTTCGCTGAGATTTTTGTGCAGAATCATCAATTACAAATAATAATAATTGGACATATTTTCTAAACGAATAAAAGGATTTATTAACCAGTTATTGATTACTAACTAGAGCTGCTGATTACATGGCTTTGGAAATAACAACTCATACCTCTTCTTGCTTGTTTCTTAGACCATATAACGAAGTTTGATCTCTTGGTTGGGATTTCTTGCTCATCTCTAAATCGATGAAAAATGTGGTTCTTGATATCCTTAACAACGTAACGACAGGTGTTATCAAGGCTGCATTGATGGAAGGTCTTATGCAACATGCTTGTCGTTATCTGAGTTGGGTTGTGCACTTCTTCGAAAACAGATTTGCTTGTACTTTGATTCTCGTCTGACTTTATCGAAGCAAAGCAGAAAATATTGAGAAGAAAGGTCGCGAGCAAGAAAAGTCCCATTTGGACAATAGATTGATTGAAATCTTTCCTAGGAAACAAATTAAATTGCTATTTACTTTAACTGTGAAAAATGTACTCAACTTCTTTTTAAATCATATAAAAATGCTGCGAAACTGTAGTCTTATTTAAAGATCTTAAATATTTTTATTAATAACTTGTTAATTCAAATGAAACTTTTGGAAAACTAAATGCAGTACATGTTATAGAGATGCTCAGATCTTTTGGTATTTTGGTAATTTATTCGCTACTACTCATGCGACGTTTTGTTGTAGAGCTCGGAATGATCTAAGCTGAAAATGGCTTGCTCGTAAAATCTGAACCTAATAAACCCATTTGAAGTGAAATCTGCGAAGATAAATGAAATGATTTTAAGTCAAAGGAAAAGGATGGGGAAGCACAGACAAAAGTGTAAGATTTTAATTACCGATTAACCGGAAAGGGGATGTTTGTATTCCTCAAATTTCGGAATAGTCGGAATGGGGAATACTAGACTTAAAATAAAATATAACTTACTTTCAAATTGTTGAATTTTTCTTACAACTGTCTCTGTTTCTGTCCAGCCCAGCAATACTTCACTCCTCTTTATGTTAAATTATTTGCGCAAAGAAAAGATGCGAATCTAAAAATAAAGAGCTATTTAAGCAGTACATCATTTGTTGAGGGATTTTGTTGTTTGTTAAGCTAGACAATTGAATTATTTCTCCTGCATAATTAATGCAACTCTTCCGTATTTTTCTAATTTGTCCATTACTAATGAATCCAATCCCATATTACCTAAACAACTGCAAGATATATCTAACAAAGATTTCCTTTTAAACTCAAATTCACAGCTATATACAGGAGACAACTTTCTGGAAAAGTTTTAAACCTGGCAGAGGTTTCTTAATTCTACCTAACTGTATACAATACGGCCTTACGATATGCGAAGAGACCTTTTGAAAGAGTGCAGGGCTGAAAAAAGGGAAATGGAAAGATGGAGAAAGATACTTGCTTCCTATCAACATCCGGCCAGAAATAATCGTACACATTTTCGATGATCGCTAATTTGGCTTCCAAATGTGTTTATTCTAAAATTTGTTTTTGAAACATAGGAAATAAGGCCAAAAAGCTTTTTTAATAAACAGAAAAGGATGGGCTCATTTTCCTTTTCATGGTCTACTAGTCGAAGAAAAGCTATTTGTTTGCTGACTTGAAAAAATTTTTTTTAGAGGACATGAAATAGATTTGAAATTAATAGAAATATAGAAAAGAAAGTGCAAATTTAGTATGCAAGGAGAGCAATTTTTTGGTTGATACATAATTTTAAACTTCCAGGGGACATTGGTTTGGTACAAAGAGTGAATTCTATTTTTCCTCATTGGCTATCCTCATTGGCTTGAACCTAATTCTTATCGATATAATTTCCTTTAACCCTATCCAGACTAGGCTTTTTGAAACTTTCGGGAGACTAGGGGGGGGCACAAAGTGCCCCCCCTCCATAATTTCTTTGTCCCTCTAGCTAGGACAATGAACTTTGTTTTGATGGTACTCCTATCTTTTCTCCACATTTTAGTATTATTGTTCAATTTTTAAGTCACGTGGTTTTACGATGACGTCATCATAATGGTGGCCGGGTGAAGCAAAAATTTAGAAAATTTTAGAAAATCTTAAAATAATCATTAATTCCAAAGCATCGGGCTAAGATATTAAAATAAGCAAATTTGATGCATTTTCTAATAGAAACAAGAAGATTGCCACAATTTTAATGTTACTTCTCAAAATTATTAACGTTCCAAACAAAAGAACTCAACATATTTTGTATTTGGCTATAGTATTTTCTATATAACTAAATGATCAATACAACCAAATGTCATGTTTGAGTTCATTTTTAGTGCCTTAGCAGACAAATTATTCTAAACTGGCAGTTTTATTAATGTAATACCTATAATTCTGTCAACAAATGCGTGCGCATGCGCAGCAGAAAAATCATAGAAAAGGATGTTGAATTTGAATTTTCTGGTCAGAATCATGAAAAGAGCACAAATTTATGCCTAGATACTAATTTTCATCAATATATCTACTTTTGTTTTGAATCCGTGGCAGGTTGAACTATTTTTTACTTGACTAGTTTGAAAACGCCCCTACACAACCCCCTGATTAATAATAAAAAAATTATCTTTTTATATGAACATGTGTCAGATAGGTTAAAACTAAAAGTCAGGAGGTCTGAGGGGTATTGCTTTGAAACTCCTGAAGTTATGAAAGAAAAACCAACCAGGGGGGCACTTTGTGCCCCCCCCTAGTCTGGATAGGGTTAAATTAGCATTAAAAATTTGACATTTCTAAACTTTCTTTTATATAATTTGAATAGAAAAAAATCTGAAGATTAAAAAGGAATACTATTTTAACAAATGATTTAATAAAATTCATTCTAAATATCTGATAGTATGATCATTTGACAGGCCTATAAAGCCTTAGGTTCTTGAAAAAAACTTTTGCTATTTTTTCTACTTTGATTATATAAGCAATAGAAAATTAAATATTAATCAATGCATTTCAATACAAAAATATTCATCATCAACTGTTTACATAAGATAATGAAGAAATTGACTTTTTTAAATTTAAAAGTACTATTTATCTAATTTTCTTTAGAAATTAAAAATTGCGCAATTTAATAAATCAATCGATTTGCAGCAAATGATTCGACGCAATTAGAATTATAAATAACAACAGATCCTTCGAGTTTTTCAAGCAAGACTCTTATTACAATGTATGTTTGTGTTATTATATTCTTATTATTCTAAGCAACAAGACCTTCTGCAGGTTGATTAGGTAATTGACTTTCGGCAAAAATATTGAGGAATTGCATTTGAAAAATCTTTAATAACAACAGTGTTTTCAACAGTGTTAAACAAATGCAAATTTTCAAATTTAATGATAAATTCCGATGTTGTCAAACGTAAAAACAGATTCCAATTTCAATTTATGGGGATATAAAATCAGTTGATCGTCATTGCAAAGTGTGTTTAAAGTTGGTAAGAAGTGAGCTGTTTTCTTCCAGTATAAGGTTAAAAGACAAAGTTGTCTGGTTTCCCGATCAAAGAAGATGCATTTTCAAATGTATGTCTTGATTTTAAAATGTTATATTATATATGTTTTTCTATCTGTTCTTCCAGAAAAGTCAACTTATTTTACGCGTTTGTCCTTTTCTTCATTCCCGATGTTGCTCCATTCGCTTGTTTTAGACTTTGTACTTCTTTCTTTCCCCTTTATTTACTTTTCAATTGGTGATCGTTATCATACTATTTTAGTTTTGTGCAAGTCTTTGATTCAAAACCCGTGCTTTTGACACTAACTTTTTTCTGAAAATGAAGCAACGTAGAATGTTGGCCACATCTGGAATTGATTGTTTTAACTTAAGACTTTGACGGACAATATTTCTATGAAAAAGTCTTACTTCGAATTTTCTTTCTTTCAATTTGCTAACTTCAATTTTGTTTTTCAAGGAGGAATTGTGACAAAGATTACTGTTTCATTTTCTTACATAAAGTTTTAATTTATAGCAAAGGTTGTCTCGAAGTAGATCTAAAACTCTGTTAGCCTTTAGAGAATATGTGGTCTTGAAAGTGTAACAGCTTTATTAAAGTTTTGCTTGTGAAGACAAAAAAAAACGTATTAGGCTTAGGTTCCGAAGTACTTTCCTCCGGATGATTAAACGTAGTTCAGCATTCTAACGGAAGATTTTCTTGTGAGAAATAATTCTATCTAAGATGATATTTATAAATAATTTCTGTAAGCTTTTTTTTGATTCGCGAAACTTTATCATCAAAATTTTTTATGCTTAAAAACAACTATTGTTGCTAGGTTTGATGGGCTTCTTTATGTGTATATCTTTAATGGACAAAGAGATTTTCTAATTGCTTTGTAGAAAACGGCTAGTAAAAAGTAAGCCTTGATTCAGTACTAATATTTTTTAGACTGTTGCTGCTTGTGATTTCTGTAAATACAAATGGAGAAATATTTCGTCTGCCATGCAAGATCTTTGCCAATTTTACTGCTGTGCTTCATGATCAATCACTTAGTTCTACATTTCGTTCTTTGGACAACTTGGATGAGCAGATGTGTAAGTTTGAATGCATCATGGAGCATCGATGCAAGTCTATAAATTTAAACAGAGAGCTTGGTATTTGCCAGTTGAATAGCAAATCAGCACAGGATCCAAAAGATTTCATTGAAACGCAAATAAAGGAGGGTTGGACATATTATTCAACCCGTTTTGAAGAGAAAAATGTGAGTTTTCTTTTCAAATACCTATTTAAAATTCAACTAACTTTATAAATTTAAAAATTAATTTGGTGACAGAAAATTGCGAAAAGGGCACATATAAAAATTAGTTGAAAGAGAGAAAAAAGAAGAACAACAAGTCATTGATCAAGATGAGCATCAAACACAGCTTTCAATCTTTATCTTTTTAGCTCTGCAAAAAACATGCCCTTAAAGAAAAAGAGCTTTTTTTCTCGTAAATTTCAAGACTAATATAGCACTCGTGATATGTTGTGATAGGGCTAACAATTGATCATTCATGAAATAAAATTTTTACATTGCAGGTTGGTCAGTATTGCCAAGCAAATGATCCTTGCAGCGCCGGACATAAATGCATTGACACTTGCTACTGCCCAGGGTATAAATGCATTGGTAAATACAATAGCAACTACATTGCTTTTGGGGTACAAAGTGCTATACAACCAGTTTTGCATGTTTTGTTTCTAGTAAACTAATTGTGTTGTGTGCCAATGTTTGCGTCAGTACTGTTGTTTGTTTCCTTGCCATCAACATTCTATATCATTGCATCATCCCATCAACACTATTGTTTTCATCAGTCCCTTTGTTTGATATAATTATCGTGTTAAAACATAATTAGGGTTTGTTTGTCAAGTGGTATATTTGCTGTACCCTTGTTCGTAAATTCTGTCGATTTGAAGTTGACGTTACCTTTAGTCGTGTTAAAGTTGCCGTTACGCAAAATCGTTATTGTGGAGTCGCCGAATATTTGTAGTGTCAGGTTTTGATACATCCTCGTTTTTGTTCCAGTTTATTGCCGTCGTTTGGATATCGAATAGAAATTATGTACATTTTTGTTGTCCTTCTTTCGTCTACGTTTATCTGTAAAACCTTATAGTTTTACAAAAGCCCTTGTTTTGTATTGTGCATAAGAAGAGTTTTTAATACAATTACTTTTTGTAAATTTTCTTCCACCCACAGCAAAGAATATTGCCTATAAGAAGCCATCTTCCCATTCATCAACCCATACATATAACGGAATAGAACTTGTTGCAAGCTTTGGAAATGATGGTGACAGAACGGCAAACTGGCAGAAATGTAGTTTCACCAGTTATGAAGAGCAGCCCTGGTGGCAAGTGAATCTTGAAAAGGTAGCCGCTGTTACACATGTTCGGATAACAAATTCTGTAGCCTGGCCTACACATGATATAAACCCATTCAATGTTAGTGTTGGAAAAGATAGCTGAAACGGCGGAAGAAACAATGCGCTTTGTGTAAATGGTGGAAGGTTGGCTAGTGGCGAGATGAAAACTTTTTATTGTCCAAAGCTGATGATGGGTCGCTACGTGAGTGTGTTTTTGAACAGGAAAGAATTTCTTCAAGTATGCGAGCTTGAGGTTTATGAAGGTATGTTTCAAATAATCTAATTATTTGTGGCTGGTTTGTTACATGTTTGTTTCAAATATTCCAACTTTCTTTTTTTGGTTCTTGGTTAAGTATATGGACCAGGCTTGTTGTAAAATACAAAGTTCTATATATTTGTCTTCACCTAAAAAGTACAGACAAAGTCTAAATGAAGAACGAAATTGTTTTCTTTCACAGGTCTTTGTATTGGCATAATTCTGATCAGTAAATAAGTTACAGTAAAAATAAGATATAATTCAAACGTGAAATTATTATCCAAACTAAATGCCAAAGTGGAAAATAAAGATAATGCGACAAAAATATCTCATTGATTGATTGTCTTTTCATTAAGGATTTGACATGGAAGCTCAAGGTTATCTTTTACAATTGATGTACATGCAAATTGTCTTAAATAACGGTCTATTAAAACCAAAACCTAAGGCAAAAAAAGTAAAAAAAGTGATTACTGATCTAAATTTTAAAAGACAGCTTCAATACTATTATTATGAATATGGCCACAGGAGATTTATATATAAAGTTTTGTCGTTGATAACAGGATGCAGATCTTCTTGTGATTGGTTAGTTGTTATGCCTCATGTTGTATCATGCTATTGTTAAACGTCTTTAAAACGTTAGTCTGTAACACTTTGCATAAATTAACAAAATGCTTCTACCAAAAACAGGAATGCAATGTGTTTTTTCGATCAACATGAATCCAATGAATTTCAAAACTAAGATTCATTGTTCTTAATCTGACCATAATTTTGATAACAGTAGAGAATTTGGCATATAAAAAGCCGTCCTCACATTCATCAACTGCCACCATAAATAGAATCACATTAGTTGCCAGCCTTGGAAATGACGGTGACAGAAATGGGGCCTGGCAGCTATGCAGTATCACAAAAGCTGACATAGTACCCTGGTGGCAAGTGGACCTTACAAGGCAAGCTGCTGTTAAAAGTGTCCAAATAAAGAATGGCGCAACTTTTGGTCAACAAAAAATCAATCCATTCGATATCAGTGTTGGGGATGATAGATCAAATGGCGGACGAAACAATGCGCTTTGTGTGAAAGATGGAAGGTTGGCAAGTGGTGAATTGAAAAAGTTCGATTGTCCACAGGTCCTGATGGGTCGTTACGTCAGTATCTTTTTGAATAGGCAAGAATATCTCCAAGTATGCGAGGTTGAGGTTTATGAAGGTATGTATATTCACATGAAAATTTACTCCTTTAATGTTGGTCACGAAATGTAAATGTAACTTGCATCTTGCTCATTGGGCCATTACTTTTGATAAAGCAACTGATTTTCTTGCTTTGACTACTTTTGGCATTTCATCGCCTAAACCAAATAGAATGGGGCCCAATAATACAGGCAAACAATGTGAAAAATGAATTAACCTGTAGAGAAACATCTAAAGAGAAAAAATGCACAGGCCAATTTGCACGGAGGTCTTTTAAGACCAAAAGCAATGTCGAAGAGAACTCTTTTTGCAAGATGGCTTCCGATGGTCCCGAAAAGGTAAGATGTCCATGAAATGGATCTAAAAAATGATTCTAAGCGGCTTTAGTGGAGGAAATGGCAGTTTAGAGAAGATTTCATTATCAAAACCCGTTTTCTTGAAAATGGGTCCATACACTTTGGTGTTGGAAGTCAAGGATATATAAGCCATTGACATTGTTTAGTACAACTTTTGATTGTACAGATATGTACTGTCATAGAGATGTATTTAATGAGTATACCTCAGTTAAATTTATGAGTATATTTTCATTTTATTTTTGAGACTAAGATTATTCTTTAATTACTTTTTGGCGACCAAAGGTGAAACTGATTCGCATTATAATATTAATGAATCCAAGGCCGGATAAGTCTATTTATAAATATATATCTTTAAACTCGCATTTGTTTTGCTTTGCAAAACACTAAAATAAACACAATATCCAATTCTTATTGAAGCTTGAGCCTTTGATTATTGTTGAATTATTTTTAAATTTCAGCGATTTAAATTGAGCATTAACATTCTTCTAGACTGTATTCTTAAAAACGTGTGTAGCCTGAATTGAATTTTATGTTGAATTTTCATGAAGTTAAAAAGCTAAGAGTTTCTGCATATTATTCTGTTAATAGAAATTATATTGTTGAAACAAATAAAAAGAGGCTTGATATTTATTCTGTCATTTTGTGATATCAAAAGTTTATTTTAACATGAACTTTCCATTTTAGATGTATTCTGAAACAAAGCTTGATAAATCTATATTTATTCTCCAATTTCTGGCAAGCACGAATGCATTGGAAGAGAAATGTAATATATCTGCTACAATCAGCAAAAGAGGACATTAAAAATGCACGAAGATTTCATGTTATATGTTTGAATTTTCTGTACCGCAAAGTTTGGAAATGGCATGAAATATTGGAAACATAGCATGCTGAGGTACTTTTCGCCTGACAATCTTCAGCCAAATAGACAATAGTGACAGTTTGCACAAAATCTTAAATTGCTGCCATCGTCTGCCATGGAAAATGAGCCATCGCCTTTTGATCTAGCTTCTTTCGACAGCAAAAGTTCGCTTTCTCTCTTTGGCCAAACACGGATTTAAAAAAGGCCTATTCTTTCTCTTGAGCCACTGTCGATCCATACTTGAATGTAAATTTTCTGCCTACCATTGGTCATTATCATTTGATTATACTCTGAAGATTGTCGAACGCAAATAACTTCAGCAGACTATGTTACCAGTTTTTCATGGAATCTTCAAAATTTATCAAGAAGTAACCCTCATTGTAATTTATGTTTTTCTATCTATTAAGTACAAAATTTATGTTTTTCTATCAATTAAGTACATTAATTATGAACAGTAGGGGCGAAGGCTGAAATTTTTTTGGTTTGTGCTTTGTGCTTCATTCAAGAGATTTGAATTACATAAAATCAACTTTTTTTCTGAAAGATTATTTACAAAGACTCTTTCAAGGATTAATAGCTTGTTTTTTTCTTTAAGCTCTAAGAGCTGTCAACAAAATTTTTGACAACAAAAAGCAGAAAATACATCATAAATATATATTCTGCAAACTGTCTTTATTGTTCTGACTTGGTTATATATAGCAAAGCAAAGACCACTTTATCGTGTTAGGAAGTGACATGAATGATAGTCTTGTTATTTGACTTACGATATTATAGTCTCCTTGATCTTCAGAAAATCCAATTCAAGCTTAAAAATGATCATACAAAAGGATTTCATGCATGTATTGCTACGCTGCAATGATTATACACGTAACGTGGAACATAAACTGATATTAAGGAGTGATGCAAAAGAGTTTTCTATTTTCTCTCCTTTACTAATTTAACACTTTGTTCTATATTGCTCTATAAATGGTTATTTGCTCGATCTTGGCACATTCTACGCTGATGGCAGCAGCAAATGCATATAAAAAGCTGGTAAAACTAAATACAGATGCACACAAAGGACCAACGCAAAGTATGTTAGGTCTAATTATGCAATGCAAAGTTAATACCTGTTCTAACAAACAGCAAATACACTAGTGTCACAAAACATCTAATCTAAATTCTGTGCTAGTGCATAAGTGGTCAAAGTTTTGCCCAAGGAGCCTTAAAACCTAAATCACTGTCGAAGTAAAATTCATAATGGAACATGAAGAGTTTGTTGTTCAAAATCAGACTTGCATGTAATGCCCCTTTATAACGTCAAATTCCAAATACTAAGTTTCTAAAGACTCTTCTATCCCAAATTATGACCGAATATATAGTCCAAATTTTTCATGCATTTAATTTTCAATATATCACTTTACAACGTATATCAGAATTTTGCCATGCCAAAAACTGAAGTGGTATTTCACAAGAAGGCATATTTTCCCCTGCAACAAGCTTTATCCATTGGCTGCAAGAGTCTCAAATTCCGTTTTCTTCAGTCACCAAAAAATCTCAAATTAAGTTGGCATAATCTCCAGCTACACTCAAGCTAATAAGAATCAACTAAATTAAATTAACAGCGCTAAATATAATGTAAATCAATTATAACCGTTGTTGCATACGCATTCCTTGCGAAGATCACAAGTACAATTTTGAATTCTGAGACTTTTTCTTGAATATATGTAAAGTTAGGGAGTATTTTATTTTGCTTGAAACTGGGCTTACTTTAATCAGTTTTACTCTTAAGAAAAAAGGCTGGCAAAAAGTATCTTTGAGATTGCTTTGGACTAGTTCACGGCGTTCTGTAAATTAAAAACTGTATTTCAATGCAATTACGTTGGGGTATGTTGTACAGGTTGATAAAGAAGGTTCTACTATTCTACAAAGTGTTGCCATTTGCCTTGCTCCCGACATTTGACGTCCCTGAAACGTTTTCAATGTAAATGCATTAAAAATCATACACAGGTTGAAAAAGCGGTTAATTGAAAAAATGATTGAATAAAATTAATTCTTTATATTTGCTGCGCTGAACATTTAACCTAGTGACAAATATGATCATTTCAAGAAATCATTAAACTCTTTTTTCAATTTTGATAATGTAAACAATATATTTTTCCAGTTTAACTCATCAGTAAATTGACAAAATATTAATAAGTTCAGTTCAATCAAAATCTTCAATGTTTGTTCAATAAAAAGCTTGTACAGAATGATCAATAAATAAAATTTTATTCTATTTGATGAAGCATATTTATCAAAACTTTTTCAGAAAAAAAATCTTTTGCGCTAGTTGATAAAGCAATTGATGTGCAGCAAGTGATTTGAAGCATTTTATAACAAATATCTAATAAAAAACAGTTCATACAGTTAATTAAAGAAATATATTCTATATGCAGATTAATTTATTTTATAGCTTTGAATAATAATTGCTTTTGCAGAATGTTAAAGCAATAAGTTTGCAGCAAAAATTGTTGTAATTAATACATCTTAAATAGCAACAGTTTCTGCAAGTTATTAAGTCAATTCATTTTCAAGAAATTGTTAAACACTTTATTGCTTTTATATTCGAAACAAATGCAAGCAACCAAATTTATAAAAATTTCAAATGTGGGAAATTTCAAAACCCATTTCAATTCTGATTTATAACAACTGTTTTTGCAAGCAAAAAAGCAATTGATTAACAAACCAAGTCTTCTACCATTACGTCATCTAAGTCTTATTCTACATTTGAAAAAATTGAATCACCTGATGGTTACTGGTAAGAATGCTCAAAGATTGTATGGGGTGAGCTGTTTTCTTCCAGTATAAAGTGAAATACCAAAATTTTCTAGTTTTCTGATAAAAGGATATGCATTATCAAAAGTACCTATTTTATGCTATTTTATATAGTTTCATTTCATCCAAATTATTAACGTGATATTCAGAGTATTCAAAAGTAACCCCAAAGAATTCAAAAAGTAAAGAACTAATTTTCCGAAATCTTTTTAAAATTTTCAGAATATTCTGGCTTGAAAGCGTGACAAACCTTAAATAGTTTTGCTGGCAGAATCAAACAACCTGAACTGGTTCAAAATTCAGAAGAACTTTTTCTAGAAGAAGAATTTTTATGGAGAAAGAATTTTTAACATATATAATTTTGATCAAGAGTTACTAAAACTTATATACAATCATTTTTGTTAGTTGTTGATGCGCCTCTACCTTCCATTTATAGAGCAATATAGAACAAAGTGTTCCATTAGTAAAGGAGAGAAAATAGAATATATCACATTATTCTATGTATTACAATCATTTTTAGATTGTTGCTGCTGGTGATTTCTGTACGTAACTGTAAATAGAGTAATACTTCGTCTGCCATATAAAATGTTTGCAAACTTTTTTGTGGAGCTTTTTAAGCTATGATCTGCATTTCATTCTTTGGAAATTTGGCAAACAGATGTATAAGTCTGAATGCATCATAGAGCATCGATGCAAATATATTAACATAGAAATGAATTGATTATTTGCCAGTTGAACAAAAAAACAGAACAGTATCCCTAAGTTTCTTGATGTTTTGATGACATTAAAGAGAGAAATGTGCGCAAATTTTTCAAAATTAATGCAAAGAACGAAAGAAATGAGACTTATTTGATATATGTTCTGACGATTTTTACTCTGAAGAGTGTTAAACGAAAAGCTTTAGTATGTTTCATAATGTTTGCTTTTTTCAAAGCCACTTCATCATGCCATTAAAGACTCTTCAAAGAACATACATACGGAATGATCATTATATAACATGAAATCTACCAATCAGTGGCATAGCGTCCGGGTATTCAAGGTATTCAGTGAATACCCTGAGATTTCTGGGAAAAAATATCAATACGACGTATAATTATGATAAATAAAAAATGCTTTAGGGCTACTTTATTCTGGTTGATTTCGTTACCTTTGATGTTCTACATTTTCTCCAAGTACAAAATATCACGAAATGCATGGGAACCATAACGCTGCGAAGCAGAGAGAAGCTGAGAGATCTTTGAAGCTAATTTTGAAGATTGAGCTACTTTATGTTGAATGGAGATCGGTCAGGAATACGCAGTGAATACCCTAGAAGGTATTTTAACCAATCAAAATGCTCCTTTCCATGAATAATATTTGCTCTTAATCAGCTAAAACAATTGTCATGTACGCTGAGAAATATGCAGCGTACAGCCTCAAAGTTGGTTCAAAATAGTCTCGTTTTGAGATCGATATAAACAGTTAATGGACGTCGGAGCTGTTGGGGTGATGCAGTTTCATTGAAAACAGTAAATATGACTTAATTCAAAGCTCTTGCAATGTCCGTATTACTGTTTCGTAATCATTCTCTCATTTGACCCCTTATCTTCATTTACCCCTTATTGAGGCGGGCTACCGTTTCTGCGAATCTGGTCGCGCGATCGCGCGACTGTTGTTCTAGACGTGCGCAACTAACCCAGTAGCAGTGATTCCCCATTGCCCTGGCGATCGCGCAACTGCTTTTGGGAGTTGGATAGATTTTAACTTTTCTCTGACCAGATTCTCACGAACCAATAAGATGCTTTATTTTTCTTGTCTGGTTTACGTCGTAAAATGCCTTATCACCCTGTCTTGTTTTCTTTGGCGCTTATCCAAAAAATCAACACTACGCTCTTCTACGCTGAGAATCTCGTTTAAACGATGGTAAAAATAACAATTAGGCCAGAAGTCATGTCGATTTTACGCCAGTTTCAGCAAAGTCAATCCCTTACAATAAATCTTGCGTTTGAAAATAGAAGCACGGGCAATACGGAATCGCAGACGGAATGGTCTGCAGAATTATTTATTGAGGAACTTAAATCCTGGTTTCCATATAGCCTTAAGGCTGCCTGCGACTGCCTGCGACTGCTTTCTGCCATCTTCCATCTTCCACCCTTACAGTAGCGCCGGCAAATAGAAATGTTCTGTTTTCAATTGCGTGCAGGATCGGTAACTATGCCGGTAACTTGGTAAAGTTTGAGTGGGAAAAACTGGCGGGCAAAATTCAACAACAAAGCCCTGTTTCAATTGGTTCTTGCACATCACATGATCCGTTTGAACAGAAGAATGCCGCAGGCAGCCGCAGGCAAGGCGTTTCCATTTGTAATTTGTTTGCCGGCGGTACCGGGAGGCTGCCGTAAGAGCCGGGAAAAGTTGAACTCGTTCAACCTTTTCCCGGCTCTCCCGCCAGTCTTACGGCACTTCAAACAGCTGCCTGCGGTACCGTTAGAAAGCGTTTCCATAAAGAATTATCTGCCGGCGATACCGTAGGGATGGAAGATGGAAGATGGCAGAAAGCAGTGGCAGGCAGCCTTACGGCTATATGGAAACCAGGCTTAAACAATATCGAGGTTTATGGGATACCTCATGCCGATCTTATAAAGATGGCCCTAAAAAGCAGCAATCTTGGCGGGAACTGAATCAGAAATTTAAAAAAGAGGGTAATTTTTGTTTGATTTTTACCTTCAATTTTAATGACGTGTTTAGGCCTACTCTACACAATGTAAAATCGTACTTCCTTGTGCATTTCATCAGTTTTTACAGACTTTTGACTCTCTTTCTTTGTCATCGTTTGTATTTCGTTTTCAATGTGTGTTTCTGGCTCATTCACGTTTATTATTAACGATAATGTGACAAAAAATACTTTGCAGCATGGTATACCATATGTAAATATACCGTAAAAGCTCTAAGTCAGGGGAGCTCATATTCTTTTTAGTTCCAAAGTGGATGCTTAAAAGAGAGGGGGGCTTATTTGAAATTTTTGCATGATAAGAGGGTCTTAATAGAGCTTTAACTGTATGTATGATGTGGTATACAAATATTCATATAAATATAATTTTAAAAACATTGTTAAGTAATACATTCCAACTAGACTCTTAGGTATTTTTGTCACTAAAAGATCGAAAACGTTGATATTGAGTTTTATGGATTTGCATTTTCGAATTCTGATTAATTTGGAATTCTGATTTTCCAGAGGACACCTTAAAGAAAGTTTGGAAAAATCTAGAGGATGGCTTCACAAAGTGCATCAAAAAAAGGTAATTGATGACACGTTCTGCAGCCGGAAAACTACCAAAATGTAAAATGTTTGATCAGATGACTTTCATAAAAGATTCTGTCACAAACAGGCCAACTTCTAGCAACCTCAATATTGAAGATTCCTCTGATGTGATTCTTCCTGAGAGTCCTGCCAGCATTACACCCACCCAAGTAGGAGGTAGTAGACCCAAATCAAACTCCGGAAAAAGGAAATTGGAAAAACGTTCTATCGACTCCAATAATGCCATGCTAATTAAAGCCGTGAAGGATGATGGTGTACCAAAGGCAAAGGTGTTTGATGCAGATGTTAGCTTTGCGGAAAGCATTATACCAATTTTGAAAAAGCTCCCTGACAAGCAGAACAGAAAAGCAGAAATTAAAATACAACAAATTCTTCTTGAATGTGAATTTGATGAGCAGCAGAACAGTTAGTATTTGTTCAAGCTCCCGTCTCAAGAAACCCCCCTCCCCCAATTAGCATCTAGTTTTTAATAAGCTTTTCTCTAAGATTTTGAAAAAGCAGCCATATTCTTTACATGTTTTTGCCTTAGTGGATGGATTTTTATTGCATAAAATACATATATTCTGCGTGTCAAATTCCCCCCTCCCTCTCCAAGAAACGAAAATCTAAATTTATAAAAGATTTAAAATGCGTGTTTCAAATACGTCCGCACTCTTTATCATCAAGTTTTGATTATCAATTTAATTACATGTTCTGAATGTTCTGATGTAAAATTAGATATTTTCTAATAAAATAAACTTTTTTTCTGATAAAACAATTAATCGTCAAATGGATCTTGTGTGGATGAAATAGTTTCCCATTGTCATAGGACAGAACCCGCTGGTAAATCAAAATTGTCTCTTACTACCTTGGCAGCCCTTGTGTGATTTTTTGAGCCTGCCTTTTTAAGAGGGAGAAGCCGGCCCATCGAATATTGTCTCTTTCAAACACAGTCCCCCCAAAAACGGCCTTTGACCGTTTGAATTCCTCGGCTTGTATTCGGAATTTTACGGTATATCTTCTCAAAATCAAGGAACACATTCTACAAAGCAAATACTTTTATGCGCAGTTTTATGGATCGATGAATCGCCTGCCCATATAAAAGCCAGAAAAAAATAGGGTCTATTCAGGATAAGCAAAAAATCTTCATCTCAAAGACGTCATGAGAGTAATTAAATCAATTGCGGAAAATGACATGGCAAAGCATTTTGATTTTTGTGTTTTTTACCCAACACAACAAACTTGTTTGTTTTCCAAACACATAGCGCTAGCAATATTTTTGTAAATGCTTGATCCCTTTGTTTCATTCAATGAAGCAAATTTACAACTGTAATTTTCATTTACGATGCAGGTGCTTGAGTTCGAATTGAAGAGGAATTGGGTACTTTGATTAATTGCAAGTAAACATAGAGTCAGTTTTAATCTCGAGGTACAATTTTGCGAATCTATAACTGTCTTCACACAGCTCAAACAACGATTACTCTTAGTTGCTGCGCAGCAGAAGTATAGTATATATCATACATGTAGAATATATGTCACACAACTCATTATAGATTTAGTCTTGCACATGCAAATCAATCAGAAACATGCCTTTGAAACATGCCATCTTTGTTGTTTTGGTACTATTTGGCGCAAGCAAGGTGAATTCGATGCTTGTAACACAAGGAACATATTTCAGGACAATTGAAACAAATGACGGTGACAATTCTGATATTAGAAATGACGAGCGAGTTTCGACTGAATTCTTTCATAACTATGGTCTTGATGAAAGCTGTAAGTATATAGGATATTCTGCAGATGATAAGAGGTACAGAAAAGCATCCAGTGCTGAAGAGCTCCAGCAGGAGAAGGGTTACAATCGAGTTTGGAAGAAGATGGTGTCATTGAATGTCGCATTTAGGAAACCGTCCTTTCAGTCTTCGGTTCGTTTTCTTGAAGGGATCAATTTGATTCCGGGCTTCGGAAATGATGGAAACATGACTGGAAAATGGCAAGGATGCAGTATCACAGAACTGAACTACAGACCCTGGTGGCAAGTGGACCTTACAAGGCAAGCTGCTGTAACAAGTGTCCAAATAAGAAGTGGCGCAACTTGGGGTACACATAAAATCAATCCATTCAACGTCAGTGTTGGGGATGATAGATCAAGTGGAGGACGAAACAATGCGCTTTGTGTGAGAGATGGAACGTTGGCAAGTGGTGAAAACAAAAAGTTCGATTGTCCACAGGTCCTGATGGGTCGTTACGTTAGTGTTTATTTGAACAGGAGGGAATATCTTCAAGTATGCGAGGTTGAGGTTTATGAAGGTATGTGCTTGAACTTAAAGCTTTCTTTCTAACATACCATAGGTACCAGACCAGAGCATCGTTATTTCTGAGATTTAATAATGGAGACTATGGCACCCAGGGTATTTCGAATAAAGGGCAAAAATTCTTGTAGCCACTTCACTGAAGGCATTTGCGCGTCTACAAGCTGTGGAGAAATTTTTGCTACCAATCGAACATGCGACACATCAATGAGAACAAAAATTTCAGCGGATAAAATTTCGGACAAAGAACTTAGTTGAAGAAATTTGATAACATGATATAGTTTTGCTTCACACATGCAAAAGACTGTTGAAAATTTTCCTGAAAATTTGTTTGTCCGAAATTTTAAAAGTATGACAAATTTTTAACCATATAAAACAACGAAACCACATCAGGACAGATTTTCAGGAAAATTTTGAACAGTCGTTTGCATGTGTGAAGTCATGAAATCATGGCAAAGTCAAGAAACATTATGTACAGGAACGGCTCAAATCCTTAGTTTAGTGACTTATTAAATGACGATGAGAACAATAATGATAATTATTTGAACTGGCGGTTTTACTAACTTGGAAAAGGGCTTTTTTCAAAATTTTTGTTGCCAGTCATGTTTAAAGATCGTAGACATTGCTTTAGTCAATATACACTGCGCATGCGTGGGTCATACAAAATTTATCGGTGTGACAACCTTCTGAACAAATTTGCTACCCTGAAAGTTGTTTTACTTAATATAGATTGCGATCCGGTCCTCCCAGGTGGTGCCTTCTATTTTGTTTAGCCTCTGTTTGGTGCTTTCTGGTGACTGGGGAGTTGTACAACATAGAACAATTACATTCTTTGGCTTTAGTTATCTTGGACATGATATCCTCGACTATCAAAATGGCTAAAATGGCTTAATGCTACAAGAATCCAAGGTTCACTGTTCAAAAAAGTCTATTTCTTTTTCAAAACTGTCAAAAGTTGAACGAACGCATGGGCCCATTGATACTTTAGCTTTTTACCCTGGGTACCAGACCCACATAATTTTGATCGTAGGACTAGAAGATTGGAGTACAGGAGCGAAGGAGTAAATATTCGCGAGATTCATCAATAATAATTATAATCGTTTAAAAACCATGCCCGTATCTATTGCCATACACATTTTGTCGGCAAACCATCGGTTTTGTAGCCCCCTCCATCAAAATTTTATGGCGACCGCATTGGCGAAGGTCCCCGCTTCTCCGCTTAGTTTTCTATTTACGCGCGTGAAATTGTGTCGCTCTGGTACTGAGGGTACTTGGCCTTCCTAAAACCAAGAAACAGAGTTCTTTCAAGCAAGCTTCGGCAACACCATACTTTGATAATTTCAAAAGCAACAAATGATGCTCCGTTTTTCAAATCTAAGTAAACAACACCAGACTTTCATCCATGCAAGCACCACTTCAGCGTGCAGATCTCACCAACGTATAAAGATTTGCTTTTGGCTTGAAAGGATAATCCAATATTTTTGTTAATTTTACGCACATATTTTGGGGTGGTATCATTAAATTTAAAAATCCCCTACTGATACCTCAATCTCAGTTTGGGATAGCCGTAACTAATTATTGTTCTTATTTCGACAAATTTCTTGACTCCTTTTGCAAATTTCATGTTTCCAGCTATTGCTTTTATTGCATTCTTCTTAAAACTTCAAGCCTGGGAACACAATTTGCTAAATATCACAACATTTACAAAGAGCTGACAATGAGCCTAGGCATTCCTAGTCCGCAAATGATTCACTTATTTATCTCAGCTAGATTCTTGGGATGTATGACAAATAATGCTTTCCTAGGATTTATGTCAAATACTAGGTTCCATGAAGTTAATTTCGTTTAATTTTTTTGTTAAAATTTGCAAGGGAAGAGTTTCTGCACATCATTTTGTTTAATTGAAATTATATTTTTGAAACAACTGAAAAGATTATGTGATAATAATACTGTCAGAAGTATTTATTAATGTATGAACTTTGCATTTTAGATGTATTCTGAAAAAAGGCTCAGAAATCACGATTCGTTCTCTATTTCCTGGCAAGCACGAATGCATTTAAAGTGAAAAGCAATATATCTAGCTACTAGCAGCCATAGAGGATTTGCACGATGAATTCAAAATGCACAAAGAATTCATGCTTTTACATAGTATGCACATGAAGCCGCAAAATGTATCCAGTTGTAATTTATATTGTTTGATTTTCATTACTATTCAGTACAGTAATTATGAACAGTGAGTTGGAGGCACAAATCTTTTAGCTGTGAGTTTTGCTAAAAGCAAGAGATTTCCATAATAAAAATCAACTTTATTCTCGAAATTTATTAAGATGTAATAAGTATTGTATTTTAGGGTTTTCTGTCTATTCAGTCAAGTAATTATGAACAGTGGGGTCGAAGGCAGAAATTTCTTTAGCTGTGATTTTTGTTTATTCAAGAAATTTCAATTACAAAAACTACTTTTTTCCGGAAAGATTCTTTAATAAAACTCCTCTAAGGACGGATAGCTTGATGTTTTCTTTAAGCTTTAATATCTGTCAATACAATTTTTGACTAAGAAAAAAAAAATCTCTATTCTTTTGACTTTGTTAAATATAGCAAAGCAAAGACCACGATATAGTGTTAGAGACTGATGTGAATTATAGTGTTGTTATTTAATTTAAGCTATTATAGTGTTATAGTGTTCAGGGTTGATATTATTCAGAAAATTGAATTCGAGCTTAAAGAATCCTCGTAAAAAGTAAAGCTTACTAACTTAAAAGACAAGGTCAGAAGGATTTTATCAATATATTCCTACGTTGCAATAATTATATACGATTCATGGATCATTTAATGATATTAAAGAGTGATGTACAAGAGTTTGTTTTCTAGTTTCCACAACCTTTCTATTTGCTATCCTTTACTAATTGAACACTTTTTTCAACTTCCGTCTTGTTTTATAAAGTAGTGTGTTGCTCGATCTTGGCTCATGCTACTCTTATAGCAGCAGCAAAATGCATCTAAGGAGACAGAAAAACTAATTGCAGAAGCACACAAATGGACCAAGGCAAAGTATGTTAAATCTAATTACGCAAAGCAAAGTAAAAACAAGTCCTTACAAACAGCAAACGCAAAGTTTTGCCCAAGGAGTCTTAAAACCGAAATCACTGTCGAAGTAAAGCCAAAATTCATAATGAAACATGAAAATGTTTCTGTTTAAAATCAGATTTTCATAAAATGCCCTTTATAACGTCAAAATCTAAATACTTAGTTTCTAAAGACTCGTTTATTCAAAATTTTGATTTGTTCGAATTTTTCATGAATTCAATTTCATAATATTTATCACTTTACAAGGTATCTTAGAGGTTTGCCTTGTCAAAAACAAGAATAATATTACACAGGAAGGCATATTTTCACCTGCAACAATCTAAAACCATCGGCTGCAAGGGTCTCAAATTCCATAAACAATGTAAATCAAATATTACCTATGTTACATGCATATTCCTTGCGAGGATCACAAGTACAATTGAATGATTAGAATTCTGAGAATTTTTTCTTGAATATTTGCAAAGCTGGGGATTATTTCATTTCGTTTGGAACTGAGTTAGCAACAGCTTGTTCAAAATGATCAAAAAATAGAATTTCATTTGCATTTTATGAAGGGTCTTTATCAAAACTTATGTAGAAAATATATTTTGCACAAGTTGTTAAAGCAGTTCATGTACAGAAAGTGGTTTGGAGCATTCTATAACAAATATCTAATAAAACAAATGATTATCAAGGCAAGTCTTCTAGCATTAGGACTTCTTAGTCGTATTCCACATTTTGAACAAATGAAATCACTTGATGGTTAGTGGTAAGGATGCTCATAAATGTATAGAGTGAGCTGTTTTTTTCCAGTATAAACTAAAAAGACAAAATTTTCCAGCTTTCTGATAAAAGAAAATGCATTATCAAATGCATTTTTTTTACATTATTTTATATAGTTTAATTTTATAAAAAGTATTCACTTGGAATTCAGAGCATTCAAAAATATTCCCAAAGAATTCACAAAATAAAGAACTAATGTTTCAAAATTTTGAGATTATTCTGGCTTGAATGCGTGACAAATCTTAAATAGTTTGCTGGCAGAATAGAAAAACCTGAACTGGTTAAAAATTGAGAAGAGCTTCTTCTAGATGAGGAATTCTTATGGACAAGGAATTTGTAACATATATAACTTTCATCAAAAGTTACTGAAATTTAGATACAATCGTTATAAACCATTGCCGGGTAACGTCCGCCATTAGCCTGGGTAGCAAACTGACCTTTGGACTCTATGGAAGTCTACCGTAGCGATGGTGATTTCCGATACATCAAAGCCGTAATTTCGCTATCACGCTTGTTTCATTCTCGCTCATCATCGTAGGCAAATATTCATTCACTATAAAGTCATCAGTTAAATGGTAATCAATTCAAAAGCGTATCAGGATTTTTCGGATATGGTAGTTCAAAGTTTTGAAGGATTTTTTAACAGTAAAAAGAGCGGTATCTGTAAACAACTAAAATACGGTGGAAACTTGTTGCCAGAGCGTCTACAGGTGCTGATTTGGGTTTGTCTATCGTGATGGCTAGCCCAATTAAGTAGCTCTGTTTCAGGGCCGTAACTCCCAATGGCGACAAGGGGGAAATTTTTTCCCCAAGAAAAGGTAATTTTTCTTAAATGATGCATTTTCATTTGACATTTTCCCGCCCTTTTCACCGTTGTCGAATTGCGTCAGCTTTTACTCAGCCATAGCAGTGAACATCAGTAGACGTGAGCTTTTCATCGATCTTCAAGCCATAAAAAGGAATATACAAAGTACCTTAGCCCAAAAGAAATTATACAACTGTAGTTATTTTAAGAGAAAGGTGGACTGCATTTTCTCTCAGTGGAATTTAGTGATTTATTTTGTCGCTAACACAAATATCAATGCCGACAAGACAAGATTTTAACATTGGCTTGTAAAGGTAAGTTCTTATTTGTTAATTATGTGGATAAACCAACTTTTAAGGTTTAAATACTGTAATTTTTCTGTTCTCCCTCTCCCTAAATCCTTCGTAACTAATGATCGCGGAAAAAAAGTTTGCTGAGTACAACGGCAGTTTTTCCATGAATTCATCAAAGATTCAATTCTTTAAAGAAAATTTAGATTATCTTTCAGCACATTAGACACCATTATTTCTTGCGGGTAGTGGTAAAAACATCCAAAATTGGCCTAAATTTAGCTGCAAGGCAAATTTGTTATTATATTGTTGAATTCTGATTGGGTAATGGAATATGCAGAATTTTGGTCGCTCAGCCAATCAGAGATTTGGAACCTATGCTCACAGGATCCTAAAGATTCTCGATGTTTTGATGACATAAAAGAGAGAAAAGTGCGCAAATGTTATAAAATTAATGCAAAGAAGGAAAGAAATGAAAGTTATTTAATCTATGTTCTGACGATTTATACTCCAAAGAGTGTTACTCCAACGGAAAACCTTAGTAAGTTTCATAGTGTTTGCTTTTTCCAAAGCCACTTCCACATGCCATAAAAGACTCTGCAAAGAACATACATACGGAATGATCATTGTCACCGTCATTTCCAAAGCTGGCAATTAATGTAATTCCACCATATTCATGAGCAGATGAATTCGAGGACGGTTTCTTATAAGCGATATTTCCTTGAACGCCTGGAATTAAAGTCAAATCAAGGAATTTTATTAGTAAAAACATCTTACAGAATACTCCATCTTCTTTTTTACTGTCAAATCGCAACACAATAGTACCAGGATCATACAACGAGGAGCAATTGTCAGTGACTACCCAATTGTCAGGGCCATTACAAGGAAACATGCACTGCTAACCCATTCAAAAAGGATTGATTGAGGTAAAATAGCCAAGGAATTTATGCAAAATAGAATAATTTGGAATGTGATGTGGAGAGGAGGGATGTTCACAACCCCAATCGTAGCTTAACAGAAAATTTAAAGAAAAGTCCGTTCAGTGAATGAAACGTTTTTGTAATTTAGAGATATTCAAGTACCAAAATCAGTAAAAACTCAGGCATTTGTGACACCTTGGTTGGTAACATATGTTATTTCTGTCTTAATAAAAAAATCAAGCACTCTTTAGGTAAAATTGTGCCTTGTATTGATTTTCACTAATTGTTTTTGGAAGAAGCGTCAATTACAATTCATAATGAGAAAAGATCTTTAATAAACGCATAAAAGGATTTACTGTCCAGTTATTGATTACTAACTAGAGCTGTTGATTACATTGCTTTGGAATAACAACTCATACCTCTTCTTGCCTGTTTCTTAGACCATATAACGAAGTTTGATCTCTCGGTCGGGATATCTTGCTCAACTCTAAATCGATGAAAAATGTGGTTCTTGATATCCTTAACAACGTAACGACAGGTTTTATCAAGGCTGCATTGATGGAAGGTTTTATGCAACATGCTTGTCGTTATCTGAGTTGGGTTGTGCACTTTATCAGCAAAGCAGAAAATATTGAGAAGCAAGGTCATGAGCATGAAAAGTCCCATTTGGACAATAGATGGATTGAAATCTTTCCTAGAAAACAAATTAAATTGCTATTAACTTTAATTCTGAAAAAATATACGCAACATCTTTTTAAATCATATAAAAATGCTGTGAAACTGTAGTCTTATTCAAAGATCTTACATACTTTTATCAATAACTTTTTCAAAGATCAGACTTTTGGAAAACTAAATGCAGTACACGTTATAGAGATGTTAATATCTTTTGGTATTGTGGATTGTGGATTAGAAATGTTCTCAAAGTTGATCGAAAGGGGAGATCTGTGTTGGTACTTAAGGCATAGGTATTTAGGGGAAAATTATGTAGATCGTGACTTTCTTATCTAAACAGATGAGACTTGAGCGTTTACCATTTTTCGGTACCTTGTTTCTAAGCTAGGAACTAAGCCCAAACTTGTAGGTGTTTGGAGGACAAATGGCATTTTTTGGCATTGTTGTTGACCCTTGAGAATATCAAATTACCAAAAATTCTGTAACAAGGCCTCATCTCTCACCTGGTCATGTCCTGTCAGCAAATTTCTTCGCTATTACCCATGCGACAATTTGTTTCAGAGCTCGAAATGATCGAAGCTTAAAAATGCTTACTCGTGAAATCTGAACCTAATAAGCCCATTTGAAGTAAACTTTGCAAAGAAAAATAAAATGATTTTAAGACAAAGGAAATGGGTGGGTAAGCACAGTCAAAAGGGTTAGATTTTGATTATCGATTAACCGGAAAGGGAATGTATGTATTCCTCAAATTTCGGAATAGTCAGAATGGGGAACATTAGACTAAAAATAAATGAAAACTTACTTTTAAATTGTTGAATTTTTTGTACGGTTGTTTCTGTTTCTAACCCAGCAATACTTCACTCCTCTAAATGTTTAATTATTTGCGCAAAGAAAAGATGCGAATCTAAAAACAAAGAGACATTTAGGAAGTACATCATTTGTTGAGGGATATTATTTTTGTTAAGCTAGACAAAATAATTATTCCTCCTGCATAATTAATGCAACTTCTTCGTATTCTTCTAATTTGTCCATTGCTATTGAATTTAATCCCTTTTTAACTAAACAAATGCAAGATATATCTAACAAAGAATTTCTTTTAAACTCAAATTCACAGCTATAGATACAGGACAACTTTCTGGAAAGTTTCAAATCTGTCAAAGCTTGCGTAATTCTATCCAACTGTATACAATACAGGCTTACGATAGGCACGCAGGCGATGATGAAAATGGGAAATTAAAAGATGGAGAAGGATACTTTCCCCTTTATTAACATCTGGCCACAAATCATTCTACACATTTTCAATGATCACTAATTACGCTTCCAACAGGGTCTTTCGTAAAATTTCTGAGCAAACATATGACAATAATCCTAAAAGCTTTCCAAATAAACATAAAATGGTGAGTTCATCTTTATTTTTTGGTCTAGTAATTGAGTAAATGTTATTTTTCGTAAGCTCACCTGAGCAATTTCTTTTTCAGTACATGAAATTCAGAAAATGTTTCTGTTGAATTTGGAAGAAAAGAATTTACAGAAATATAGTGCAATATGTTTGGTGCAGGTAGAAAAAAGGTACAGATCGAGGGTTTGTACTCAATCCTAACATTATTTAACCCCCTCCCCCCGGGGTTTTGGCTTGGTACAATAAGTGAATTTCATTTTTCCTCATTTTTCCCTATCTTTATTATCCCTAATTCTTATCACTCTAATTTCCTTTTTATAAAATTTACAAATTTGACATTTCTGGAACCTTCTTTTAAATAAATTGAATAGAATAAAATCTAAATGCTATTAAAGCAATAAGATTTCAATAAACGATTGAACAAAATTTAATCGAAGTCTCTGTTAGTGTGATCACTTGACATGCTGATAAAGCTTTAGGGTTTTGAAGATATGACTTAATATTTCTTTACTTTGATTAAATAAACAAAATAAAATTCAACAACAGTTAATATGCAAAACATTAATCAAGGCATTTCAATACAAAAATATTTATCATAAACTGTTTACACATAAGATTATCAAGAAACAGACTTCGATTGGATTTAATAGTGCGTATTTATGAAAACTTCTTCAAAAATTGGAAGTTGCGCAAGTAAATAAATCAATCGATTTGCAGCAAATGACTGGATGCAATTAGAATCTTAAATAACAACAGATCATTCAAGTTACTAAAGCAAAACTCTTATTTTAATGTATGTTTGTGTTATTATATTCTTATTATTCTAAGCAACAAGACCTTCTGCAGGTTGATTAGGTAATTGACTTTCGGCAAAAAGATTAAGGAATAGCATCTGAAAAATCTTTAATAACAACAGTGTTTTCAACAGAGTTAAACAAATGCAAATTTTCAAGTTTATTGATAAATTCCGATGTTGTCAAACGTAAAAACAGATTCCAATTTCAATTTATGGCAATTTCAAAATCAGTTGATGGTCAGTGCAAAGTGTGTTTAAAGTTGGTAAGAAGTGAGCTGTTTTCTTCCAGTATAAGGTTAAAAGACAAAGTTGTCTGGTTCCCCAATCAAAGAAGATGCATTTTCAAATGTATGTCCTGATTTTGAAATGTTATATTGTGGATGTTTTTCTATCTGTTCTTCCACAAAATTCAACTTATTTTACCTGTTTGTCCCTTTCTTGATTCCCGGCGTTGCTCCATTCGCTTGTTTTAGACATTGTACTTCTTTCTTTAACTTTTAGTTCAGCATTCTAACGGAAGATTTTTCTTGTGACAAATAATTTTATCTAAGATGATTTTTATAAATAATTTCTGTAAGCTTTCTTTTGATTCATGAAACTTTATCATCAAAATTTTTTATGCTTATAAAAAACCATTGTTGCTAGGTTTTATGGGCCTCTTTGTGTGTATACCTTTGATGGACAAGAGATTTTCTAATTGCTTTTTTAGAAAACGCTAGTAAAAAGTAAGCCTTGATTCAGTACTAATTTTTTTCCAGACTGTTGCTGCTTGTGATTTCTGTAAATATAAATGGAGAAATACTTCGTCTGCCATGCAAGATCTTTGCCAATTTTACTGCTGTGCTTCATGATCAATCACTTAGTTCTACATTTCGTTCTTTGGACAACTTGGATGAGCAGATGTGTAAGTTTGAATGCATCATGGAGCATCGATGCAAGTCTATAAATTTAAACAGAGAGTTGGGTATTTGCCAGTTGAATAGCAAATCAGCACAGAATCCAAAAGATTTCATTGAAACGCAAAAAAAGGAGGGTTGGACATATCATTCAACCCGTTTTGAAGAGAAAAATGTGAGTTTTCTATTGAAATACCTATTCAAAATTCAACTAACTTTATAAATTAAAAAACTAATTTGGTGACAGAAAATTGCGAAAAGGGCACATATAAAAATTAGTTAAAAAGAGAGAAGAAAGAAGAACAACAAGTCATTGATCAAGATGAGCATCAAACACAGCTTTCAATCTTTATCTTTTTAGCTCTGCAAAAAACATGGCCTTAAAGAAGAAAAGCTTTCGTTTTCGTAAATTTCAAGACTAATATAGCACTCGTGATATGTTGTGATAGGGCTAACAATTGATCATTCATGAAATAAAATTTTTACATTGCAGGTTGGTCAGTATTGCCAAGCAAATGATCCTTGCAGCGCCGGACATAAATGCATTGACACTTGCTACTGCCCAGGGTATAAATGCATTGGTAAATACAATAGTAACTACATTGATATGAAGCTCTTTCCCTTGAGTCAAAGTAGGCAGCTTTCGAGGTACAAAGCCTTTGTTTAGTATTGTGCATAAGAAGAGTTTTTATTACAATTTCTTTTTGTAAATTTTCTTCCACCCACAGCAAAGAATATCGCCTATAAGAAGCCATCTTCCCATTCATCAACCCATACATATGACGGAATAGAACTTGTGGCAAGCTTTGGAAATGATGGTGACAGGACGGCAGACTGGCAGAGATGTAGTTTCACCAGTTATGAAGAGCAGCCCTGGTGGCAAGTGGATCTTAAAGAAATAGCCGCTGTCACACATGTTCGGATTACAAATTCTGTAGCCTGGCCCACACATGATATTAACCCATTCAATGTTAGTGTTGGGAAGGCTAGTTCAAACGGGGGAAGAAAAAATGCGCTTTGTGTAAATGGTGGAAGGTTGGCTAGCGGCGAGATGAAAACTTTTTATTGTCCAAAGCTGATGATGGGTCGCTACGTGAGTGTGTTTTTGAACAGGAAAGAATTTCTTCAAGTATGCGAGCTTGAGGTTTATGAAGGTATGTTTCAAATAATCTAATTATTTGTGGCTGGTTTGTTATAAATTTGTTTCAAATATTCTATCTTTCTTTTTTTGGTTCTTGGTTAAGTATATAGACCAGGCAATATCACTCAATTTGTTGTAAAAATACAAAGCTCCATCTATTTGTCATCACCCAAATAGTACAGACAAAGTCTGAATGAAGAGAGAGTTTTTTTATTTGTCACAGGTTTTTGTATTGGCATAATTCTGACCAGTAAATTTGTTGCAGTTAAAATAAGATGAAGTCTAAACGTGAAATTATTATCCAAACTAAATGCCAAAATGGCAAAACAAGATTCTGCAAGAAAAATGTCCCATTGATTGATTGACTTTTACTTTAGGATTTGGCATGCAGATTCACAATAATCTTTTACACATGGTTGTGAATGTAAATGTAATTGGTCTTAAAAAACGTTCCTTTAAACCAAAGCTTAAGTCAGCAAAAAGTGAAAAAAATTATCATAGGCCACTCTAAACCTAAAATGCCAGCTGAAAAAATGATAAATTTGAGTATGGCTTAAAGATCATTTTTATATATAAATTTGTATATTTTTGTTAGGTAATTATTTCATTCTTTTATCATTTATATCAGAATGCAGATCTTTTGAGACTCATTAGATGTTATGCCTATTGTTTTCTACGTTGACAAGGTGTTCTTTTGCACTTGGCAAAAACTCCACAAAATGCTTTTACCGAAAGAGGCTTGCGATGTGTGTTTTTTATCAACAAATACCCAATGAATTTTAAACCAAGTTTCAATATTCTTTATACGACGATACTTTTGTTAACAGCGGAGAATTTGGCATATAAAAAGCCGTCCTTACATTCATCATCAAGAACAGCAAATGGAATCACATTTGTTGCCAGCTTTGGAAATGATGGGAACAGAACTGGGGACTATCAGCGATGCAGTATCACAAAAGCTGACGTGACACCCTGGTGGCAAGTGGATCTTACAAGGCAAGCTGCTGTCACAAGTGTCCGAATAAAGAATGGTGCAACTTGGGGTTCAGATAAAATCAATCCATTCGATGTCAGTGTTGGGGACGACAAGACGAATGGCGGACGAAACAATGCACTGTGTGTGAAAGTCGGGACACTGGCCAGAGGAGAGTTGAGAAAGTTCGATTGTCCACAGGTCCTGATGGGTCGTTACGTTAGTGTTTATTTGAACAGGTTGGAATATCTTCAAGTATGCGAGGTTGAGGTTTATGAAGGTATGTGCCTGAACTCAAGGCTTTCTTTCTAACATACCATAGGTACCAGACCAGAGCCTCGTTATTTCTGAGATTTAATAATGGAGACTATGGCACCCAGGGTATTTCGAATAAAAGGCAAAAATTCTCGCAGCCACTGCACTGAAAGCATTTGCGCGTCTACAAGCTGTGGATAAATTTTTCTACCAACCGAACATGCGACACATAAATTAAGAACATAAATTTTCAACGGATTAAAGTTCGGACAATGAACTTAGTCGAAGGAATTTTATATCATACTTTTAAAATTTCGGACAGACAAATTTCCAGGAAAGTTTTAGACAGTCTTTTGGGTGTGTGAAGCGAAAAGACATGAGGTTATAGTTTCACATTCGTTTCACAAAAGTTTCAAGAAACTTTGGAAGATTATCTGACTATTGAAATCATGACAATGTCATAAAACTTTATGTACAGGAACGGCTCAAATCCTTAGTTTAGTGGCTCAGTAATTGACGATGAGAACAATAATGATAATTATTTGAACTGGTGGTCCTATTAACTTGGAAAAGGGCTTTTTCAACAAAAAAATTTTTTTCCAAAAATTTTGTAATCACTCATGTTTAAAGATTGTAGCCTTTGCTTTAGTCAATATTCACTGCGCATATGTGGATCACAAAAAAATTTTCGACGTGACAACCTCCCGGATAAAGTTGTCATGCCAAAAATTTTTACTTAATGTAGATTGCAATCCAGTCCTCCTGGGTGATGCTTTCTATTTTGAATATTGATCGAAGCCTCTGTTTAGTGCTTTCTGGTGACTGGAGAGTCGTATAATATAGAACAATTATATTTGTTTGCTTTAGTTATCTTGGACTTAATATCTTCGACTGCAAAATGGCTTAAATGACTTATTGCTAAAAGAATCCAAGGATCACTGTACAAAAAAGTCTATTTCTTTTTCAAAACTGTCAAAGTTGAAAGAATGCATGGGCCCATTGTTATTTAAACTTTTTACCCTGGGTACCAGACCCACATAAATTCGAGCGCAGGACAAGAAGATTGGAGAAGAGGAGCGAAGAAGTAAATATTCGCGAATTTCATCAATAATAATCATTATCGTTTAAGAACCACGCCCGTATCTATAGCCATAAACATTTTGTCGGCAAACCACTGGTTTTGTAGCCCCCTCCATCAAAATTTTCTAGCGACAGCACTGGCGAAGGTCCCCGCTTCTCCGCTTAGTTTTCTATTTACGCGCGTGAAATTGTGTGGCTCTGGTACTGAGGGTACTTGGCCTTCCTAAAACCAAGAAACAGGGCTCTTTCAAGCAAGCTTCGGCAACACCATACTTTGTTAATTTCAAAAGCAACAAATGATGCTCCATTGGCATCTTCAAATCTAAGTAAACAACACCAGACTTTCATCAATGCAAGCACCACTACAGCGTGCAGATCTCACCAATGTATAAAGATTTGCATTTGGCTTGAAAGGATAATCCAATATTTTTGTTAATTTTACGCACATATTTTGGGATGGTATCATTAAATTTAAAAATCCCCTACTGATACCTCAATCTCAGTTTGGGATAGCCGTAACTAATTATTGTTCTTAATTCGACAAATTTTCTTGACTCCTTTTGCAAATTTCATGTTTCCAGCTATTGCTTTTACTGCATTCTTCTTAAAACTTCAAGACTGGGAACTTAATTTGCTAAATATCACAACATTTACAAAGAGCTGACAATGAGCCTAGGCATTCCTAGTCCGCAAATGATTCACTTATTTATCTCAGCTAGTTTCTTGGGATGTGTGACAAATAATGGTTTCCTGGGATCTATGTCAAATACTGGGTTAATTTAAGTTAATTTCGTTTAATTTTTTTGTTAAAATTTGCAAGCGAAGAGTTTCTGCACATCATTTTGTTAAATTGAAATTATATTTTTGAAACAACTGAAAAAATTCTGTGATAATAATACTGTCAGAAGTATGTATTAATGTATGAACTTTGCATTTTAGATGTATTCTGAAAAAAGGTTCAGAAATCACGATTCGTTCTCTATTTCCTGGCAAGCACGAATGCATTCAAAGTGAAAAGCAATATATCTAGCTACTAGCAGCCATAGAGGATTTGCACGATGAATTCAAAATGCACAAAGAATTCATGCTTTTACATAGTATGCACATGAAGCCGCAAAATGTATCCAGTTGTAATTTATATTCTTTGATTTTCATTACTATTCAGTACAGTAATTATGAACAGTGAGTTGGAGGCACAAATCTTTTAGTTGTGACTTTTGCTAAAAGCAAGAGATTTCCATAATAAAAATCAACTTTATTCTCGAAATTTATCAAGATGTAATAAGTATTGTATTTTAGGGTTTTCTGTCTATTCATTCAAGTAATTATGAACAGTGGGGTCGAAGGCAGAAATTTCTTTACCTGTGACTTTTGGTTATTCAAGAAATTTCAATTACAAAAAACTACTTTTTTCCGGAAAGATTCTTAGATAAAACTCCTTTAAGGAAGGATAGCTTGATGTTTTCTTTAAGCTCTAATATCTGTCAATGCAATTTTTGACTAAGAAAAAAAAAATCTCTATTCTTTTGACTTTGTTAAATATAGCAAAGCAAAGACCACGATATAGTGTCAGAAACTGATGTGAATTATAGTGTTGTTATTTGATTTAAGCTATCATAGTGTTGTTGATTATATGTAATAATACTTTTTGGGCTTTGTTTAGCAGTTCAGGGTTGATATTATTCAGAAAATTCAATTCGAGCTTAAAGAATCCTCGTAAAAAGTAAAGCTTACTAACTTAAAAGACAAGGCCAGAAGGATTTTATCAATATATTCCTACGTTGCAATAATTATATACGATTCATGGATCATTTAATGATATTAAAGAGTGATGTACAAGAGTTTGTTTTCTAGTTTCCACAACCTTTCTATTTGCTATCCTTTACTAATGGAACACTTTTTTCAACCTCCGTGTTGTTTTATAAAGTAGTGTTTTGCTCGATCTTGGCTCATGCAACTCTTATAGCAGCAGCAAAATTCATCTAAAGAGACAGAAAGACTAAATGCAGAAGCACACAAATGGACCAAGGCAAAGTATGTTAAATCTAATTACGCAAAGCAAAGTAAAAACAGGTCCTTACAAACAGCACACGCAAAGTTTTGCCCAAGGAGTCTTTCTTAAAACCGAAATCACTGTCGAAGTAAAGCCAAAATTTATAACAAAACATGAAAATTTTTCTGTTCAAAATCAGATTTTCATAAAATGCCCTTTATAATGTCAAAATCTAAATACCTGGTTTCTAAAGACTCGTTTATCCAAAATTATGATTTGTTCGAATTTTTCATGAATTCAATTTCATAATATTTATCACTTTACAAGGTATCTTAGAGGTTTGCCTTGTCAAAAACAAGAATAATATTACACAGGAAGGCATATTTTCACCTGCAACAATCTAAAACCATCGGCTGCAAGGGTCTCAAATTCCGTAAACAATGTAAATCAAATATTACCTATGTTACATGCGTATTCCTTGCGAGGATCACAAGTACAATTGAATGATTAGAATTCTGAGACTTTTTTCTTGAATATTTGCAAAGCTGGGGATTATTTCATTTCGTTTGGAACTGAGTTAGCAACAGCTTGTTCAAAATAATCAAGAAATAGAATTTCATTTGCATTTTATGAAGGGTCTTTATCAAAACCTATTTAGAAAATATATTTTGCACAAGTTGTTAAAGCAGTTCATGTACAGAAAGTGGTTTGGAGCATTCTATAACAAATATCTAATAAAACAAATGATTATCAAGGCAAGTCTTCTAGCATTAGGACTTCTTAGTCGTATTCCACATTTTGAACAAATGAAATTACTTGATGGTCAGTGGTAAGAAAGCTCAAAGATTATATGGAGTGAGCTGTTTTTTTCCAGTATAAAGTGAAATAACAAAATTTTCTAGTTTTCTGGTAAAAGGGAATGCATTATAAAATATATTTATTTTTATATTATTTTATATAGTTTTATTTTGTCCAAAGTATCCCCTTGATATTCAGAGTTTTCAAAAGTATTCCCAAAGTATTCACAATGTAAAGAACTAATGTTCCGAAATCTTTCTAAAATTTTGAGAATATTCTGGCGTGAAAGCGTGACAAATCTTAAATAGTTTTGCTGGCAGAATCGCAAAACCTGAACTGGCACACAATTCAGAAGAACTTTTATTAGATAAAGAGTTCTTATGGACAAAGAATTTTCAATTTGGATAATTTTCGTCAAAAGTTACTGAAGTTTATATACAATCGTTATTGTTAGTTCTTGATGCGCCTCTACCTGTCTACACCTGCAATATACAAGGATTATTACTTTTTGCTTTTGTAGAAAACGGCTAGCAAAAAGAGACTTGTCTAAGAAATAAATCATTTTTAGATTGTTGCTGCTGGTGATTTCTGTAACTGCAAATAGAGAAATACTTCGTCTGCGATATAAAATATTTGCAAACTTTTTTGTAGAGCTTTTTCAGCTATGATCTGCATTTCATCCTTTAGAAATTTGGCAAACAGATGTACAAGACTTAATGCATCATGGAGCATCGATGCAAATATATTAACATAGAAAGGAATTGGGTATTTGCCAGTTGAACAAAAGAACAGAACAGTATCACAGAGATTCTCGATGTTTTGATGACATGAAAGAGAGAAAAGTGCGCAAATGTTATAAAATTAATGCAAAGAACGAAGGAAATGAAACATATTTGAAATATGTTCTGACGATTTACACTCTGAAGAGTGTTAAACGAAAATCTTTAGTATGTTTCATAATTTTGCTTTTTTCAGAGCCACTTTTAAGCTATCGTGTCATTATAGACTCTTTGCAGAATATATATATATATATATATATATATATATATATATATATATAGAAATTTGTCTTTTGATACTTCCGTAGCACAGTGCTCAATACGTTAGCACGTAGAGCGTGATATATCATAGATTGAAGAAAGTGAAACTACATGGTTTATCTCTACAAGCCTGTTTCGTGAGTAACTCACTCTTCAGGAAATGTTGATATACTGGAATATTCCTCGAATAAATAGATAATACGGTACAGAAGGTGTTACATAATGTGTAAGGTTATACAAAAGGTAAATTAGGGGCGGTACATAGAGGGATTTAGGTGTTACATAATAGTGTTTTGTTTCTATGGCGGCAAGAAGATACGAGTTCGTTTCGTTTGTTGAGTGTTGATAATTCGGGGTGGCAGATAATGAGGGTCTTTTCTTTAAGACAAAGGCTGCATCTTTTGTTTGAGCTGCTGTAGGATGGCTTTATTGAGAGGATGCGCCAGGAAATGGAGTGGTCGATTTTAAGAAAAATAACACCACGTTTGATGTTACAATGGGCAGCTACGACGGTGCTGAAACATGCGAGTTGGTTGGAAGCTTTCTGCTGTCACAACTACAACACCTCGACATCAATGTTGGACTATACCGAGACGACGGACTAGCCATTTCAAATTCACCACCAAGAGTCACCGAAAATATCAAAAAGAAAATATGTCAAATTTTTAGCCACAACGGACTACGCATCACGATAGAAGCCAACAAACAGATCATCAACTTCCTAGACGTCACCCTCAACCTGAAAAAAGGTACCTTCCAGCCATACACAAAGCCTGACACCATCCTTCAATATGTCCACCGCGAGAGCAACCACCCAATAACCACAGCAAAACATATACCAATCGGCATCAACAAACGTCTGTCATCACTTTCCTCTGACAAAGCATCATTCGACCAAGCCACGCCACCATACCAAAAAGCACTCAACGAAAGCGGATACAAATACACCCTACACTACGAACCAACTTCGAATACCACAAGAAAAAACAGAAAACGGAGTAACATACTTTGGTATAACCCCCCATTCAGCAAAAACGTCAGCACCAACATCGGACACAGATTCCTCAACCTCATTGACAAACATTTCCACAAAGACCACAAACTCAGAAAAATCTTCAACCGCAACACATTAAAGATCAGCTACAGCTGCATGAACAACATCAAGCAAGCCATTGACAGTCACAACAAACGCATCCTAAAGTCACACGACACCAGCACCACCCCGGAAAATACCAATGTCAACAAAACATGCAACTGCCGACAAGCGAACACATGTCCACTCAACGGGAACTGCCTACAATCATCAGTCATTTACCAAGCCACCGTCACACGCAGAGACAATGAAACTACAGAAACATACATCGGACTTACAGAAAACGAATTCAAGACAAGATACAGAAATCACACCGCATCTTTCTGTCACGCAAAACACAGAAATTCCACAGAACTCAGTAAATACATCTGGACCCTAAAAGACAATAAAATCGACCACTCCATTTCCTGGCGCATCCTCTCAATAAAGCCATCCTACAGCAGCTCAAACAAAAGATGCAGCCTTTGTCTTAAAGAAAAGACCCTCATTATCTGCCACCCCGAATTATCAACACTCAACAAACGAAACGAACTCGTATCTTCTTGCTGCCATAGAAACAAAACACTATTATGTAACACCTAAATCCCTCTATGTACCGCCCCTAATTTACCTTTTGTATAACCTTACACATTATGTAACACCTTCTGTACCGTATTATCTATTTATTCGAGGAATATTCCAGTATATCAACATCTCCTGAAGAGTGAGTTACTCACGAAACAGGCTTGTAGAGATAAACCATGTAGTTTCACTTTCTTCAATCTATGATATATATATATATATATATACAGTTGACATCTGCTATCTCGAACTCTGAAGGGAAACGAAAATTTGTTCGAGACAGCGAATGTTCGAGTTATCGGATGAACCCAAAAAAATCCAATTTTTTTTAAATTTCAAAGGTTTAACAGGCAGCATTAAAAGATTTGTTGTTACTAATGCTAAATTACAACTCAAACTAAATCATTAAGAAAAATAAGGATCTAATGTCATTTATTTTCTCTTTCTAACCAGTTCCTTCTCTATATCGCCATTCATTTTAACGAAATGCACTAGGAGTCTTAAAAGCGAAATAACTGTCGAAGTGAAGCCAAAATTCATAATGTAAGATGAACATTTTTCTGTTCAAAATCAGATTTTCATAAAATGCCCTTTATAATGTCAAAATCTAAATACTTGGTTTCTAAAGAATCGCTTATCCAAAATTATGATTTGTTCGAATTTTTCATGAATTCAATTTCATAATATTTATCACTTTACAAGGTATCTTAGAGGTTTGCCTTGTCAAAAACAAGAATAATATTACACAGGAAGGCATATTTTCACCTGCAACAACCTAAAACCATCGGCTGCAAGGGTCTCAAATTCCGTAAACAATGTAAATCAAATATTACCTATGTTACATGCGTATTCCTTGCGAGGATCACAAGTACAATTGAATGATTAGAATTCTGAGACTTTTTTCTTGAATATTTGCAAAGCTGGGGATTATTTCATTTCGTTTGGAACTGAGTTAGCAACAGCTTGTTCAGAATGATCAAGAAATAGAATTTCATTTGCAATTTATGAAGGGTCTTTATCAAAACATATTCAGAAAATATATTTTGCACAAGTTGTTAAAGCAGTTTATGTACAGCAAGTGATTTGGAGCATTCTATAACAAATATCTAATAAACAATTGATTATCAAGGCAAGTCTTCTACCATTTTGATTACGTCATCTAAGTCGTATTCCACATTATGAAAAAATGAAATCACTTGATGGTCAGTGGTAAGAAAGCTCAAAGATTATATGGGGTGAGCTGCTTTCTTCCAGTATAAAGTGAAATAATAAAATTTTCTAGTTTTCTGGTTAAAGGGAATGCATTGTAAAATATATTTATTTTTATATCATTTTATATAGTTTTATTTTGTCCAAAGTATCCACTTGATATTCAGAGTATTCAAAAGTATTCCCAAAGTATTCACAATGTAAAGAACTAATGTTCCGAAATCTTTCTAAAATTTTGAGAAAATTCTGGCGTGAAAGCGTGACAAATCTTAAATAGTTTTGCTGGCAGAATCTAAAAACCTGAACTGGCACACAATTCAGAAGAACTTCTACTAGATAAAGAGTTCTTATGGACAAAGAATTTTCAATTTTGATAATTTTCGTCAAAAGTTACTGAAGTTTATATACAATCGTTATTGTTAGTTCTTGATGCGCCTCTACTTGTCTACACCTGCAATATACAAGGAGTATTACTATTTGCTTTTGTAGAAAATGGCTAGCAAAAAGAGACTTGTCTAAGAAATAAATCATTTTTAGATTATTGCTGCTGGTGATTTCTGTAACTGCAAATAGAGAAATGTTATGTTATAAAATTGCGCAAATGTTATAAAATTAATGCAAAGAACGAAAGAAATGAAACATATTTGATATATGTTCTGACGATTTACACTCTGAAGAGTGTTAAACGAAAAGCTTTAGTATGTTTCATAATGTTTGCTTTTTTCAAAGCCACTTTTAAGCTATCGTGTCATTAGAGACTCTTTGCAGAACATATATATATACAGTTGACATCTGCTATCTCGAACTCTGAAGGAAAACGAAAATTTGTTCGAGATAGCGAATGTTCGAGTTATCGGATGACCCCAAAAAAATCCAATCTTTTTTAAATTTCAAAGGTTTAACAGGCAGCATTAAAAGATATGTTGTTACTAATACAAAATTACAAGTCAAACTAAATCATTAAGAAAAATAAGGATCTAATGTCATTTATTTTCTCTTTCTAACCAGTTCCTTCTCTATATCGCCATTCATTTTAACGAAATGCTCACGGAGCACTTCTCCATTTTCTGAGAATAGGCAATATCTTGATATTACCTCCATCCAGTGGCGGCGCCACCTCCAAAAAAGAAGGGGGGAATTTTTTTCCGGGGCGTGCAAGAAGTTTTTAAAAATTGTGTCTTGCTGTTCTATGTGTACATGGCGTCCCGAAGGCACGCATGCAATGGCCAGAGGCCGTTGCCTAAAACAGCTGGGGTCTGGGGACGCTGTAAGAAGCCCCTCAACGGGTCCAGGGCAGTGCTTCGGTAGGGGTCCAGGGGGCGAAGCCCCCGGAAGCTCCCGGGATTTTCTCATTTCTGAGGTCTCAAAATGGCTTAGGATCCTTTGATTTCTCTTTCTGCATACATTATTAGAGCAACACAACCTGTAGACTTTAATTTTAACTTGTTTATTGGGAAGTGCCAAACAAAAAGGTATCATTAATCTAAAACGAGAATTTAAAACAATGAATAACAATGTCAAACAATCTTATAAACAACGTTCGTAGTTTTTTCAACACAACTTGATTATAAGGCCAGTTTCCTAGGTTTGATAGCGAATTGATTTCGAATGGTCGCTAAATCTATTTCTTTCGAAATATCCCTCTCGCTGCTTATCAGGACAAGATTTTCCAGACGATCTTCTGTCACTGTAGCCCGAAGAAAAGTGTTAACTAGCTTCACTTTGCTATGACATCGCTCACAAGACTCTATAGAAACGGGGATGCACGAGGAAATTCTGATTACCAAATGTAGATTTGGATAAAGGCTCTCAAGGTCACTCTGCTGGAACATCTTCAGAATTAATGGTAAACACGGATTCTTCCAGCCTTTCTTTTTCCGTTCGTCCATTTCTAACAGCAGCTTGGTGAAGAATCGCGATTCTCTCAATAGCATGTATTCTTGACAGGTCGGCTGTGCAGGAATACCATAACGGCTCGCAAATATGCCAACTTTTCCCTGGTTACCAGCATTCCAGTGAAGTGGATTGAAAGCTGATAATTGCATCATCACCTCACATGACTCAACAGAGAACCTCCTCCCAAGCTCGTTGAGCATCAAATCTAAGAAGGGGTAGTAGAAGACATGACGAAAATTATCTACTGCTGTAACCGACTGACTGGACTCTGAAGGAGTTGCAATGCTGTGGCTGAATGTCGCGTCAAGCGAAGTTTGACCATCTCCTAGGCGTTCTGGTAGTCTGCGGCGTCGTTCACATGCTTCGTTGAAGGTATTATTGACGTTACACTTAGAAGTTTGATGAAGTTTGGCTTTGCAGACCAATTCATCAAAATGCGAAGTCGAGGTTTATGAAGTTATGAAGCATTAATCCAATTTACCATGTAAGTTGTAACCAGCAGCGTCATGAGCTGGATTTGGGGAAAAACTGGGATATTTTTAATCTAAATATAAGACGTTTCTCAGACCTGCTGTCACCAAGAGTTACCTTACGTAAATGTCATGATTGCTGCTCTTCACGAAGGCTTATGATTTTTATTTTCTTCTGCATAGATAAACCCTTTTTGTTTTTAGTTACGATTTTTGAGTTAAGTTGTTGATAAGGCGACAGTGGAACAGGGGGAAAAGCCCCATCCCCTCAATTTATTGAAACTTTAAGGAAAATAATTATTGTTTACTGCCTTGTGTTTTTATGATTAAAAAGCCACCATTACGTAACAAAAAAGTACCCATGGACTTTCCTTTGGGAGAATAAGGGCGACTCCTGTTGGTAAAAGGATACTACCAATAGAAAGGCTGCGTCTAACAATATTAGTTTGTCCTGCAAATGCATTGGCATCTGCTGGTGCAGCCACTAAAAGCTAAAAGCAACCCCTCTGTATCTCTAGGATGAACGATTTTGACATGCAAGGGGTTTTCACAAGTTTTTCAAAAATTACATTTTCTCTAACTCTGCCTCAGCTTGTTCTAAATTTTTCTTCATTTCTGATCAATTTTGAGGCTTGTGTTCTAACAAAATTGTTCTTATTAGAAAATGGCTGTGCATATAGGAATGCTCGAATAAGATAAGAATCGATTGTAGCTTGACCGTCCAGGACAAGGGGAATCAAATCAAGGTGCTTTGTCACCTACCAATAAGCGACGGAACCGAACTAGAAACTTTGTGGACCAACTTAAGCTTTACAAACCAACGTATAAAGGATTGGCGAGGGGGGGGGGGAGGTTATCACACTTCTACATCCCCGCTAGTAACACCCTTGAGAATCAGCCATACTACAATATTTGCTTGAGAATCCTGAATGCCAAATCATGTTGCAAAATTTTGTTTTTTGTTTAATCTTTTAATCTGGAGTACGAAGGATTTGATAAAGAAAATAGGGTGAATGAACAGATTCGCAATGTACAATCGATAAATTACCATTATTTGTATAATTAATTTTTAATTTTTATTATAAAATATCTCCGAGCTAAATTTATAACTGATTTGTAATTTATAATGAAATTTAGTTATTAGGATCAGAGAATCATCAAAATTATGCTCCAGTTGCGAATTCTTCGCAATTTTCATTTTATGAAGGAAATATCGCGTACAAAAAGCCATCTTCGCAATCATCAACATCTACAATAGAAAGCATCCCATTAGTTGCCAGGTTTGCAAATGATGGTAACAGAACTGGGGTATGGCAAGGATGCAGTATCACACAAGCTGACGTGACACCCTGGTGGCAAGTGGACCTTACAAGGCAAGCTGCGGTCGCAAGTGTCCAAATAAGAAGTGGCGCAACTTGGGGTCAATTGAAAATCAATCCATTCGATGTAAGTGTTGGGGATGATAGTTCAAATGGTGGACGAAACAATGCACTGTGTGTGAAAGACGGGAAACTGGCCAGTGGAGAGTTGAGAAAGTTCGATTGTCCACAGGTCTTGACGGGTCGCTACGTTAGTGTCTATTTAAACCGGGAAGAACATCTTCAAGTATGCGAGGTTGAGGTTTATGAAGGTATGTGCTTGAACTTAAGGCTTTCTTTCGAACATACCATAGGTATCAGACCAGAGCCTCGTTATTTCTGAGATTTAATGATAGAGGCTATGGCACCCGGGGTATTTCGAATATAGAGCAAAAACTCTCGCAGTCACTGCACTGAAAGTCTTTGCGTCTACAAATTGTTGAAAAATTTTCTCTGCCAATCGATCATGCGATACATACATTGAGGACAAAAATTTTCAGCGGTTAAAATTTCGGACGATGAACTTAGTTGAAGAAATTTGATAACCTGATGTGGTTTTGCTTCACACATGCAAAAGACTGTTCAAAATTTTCCTGAAAATTTCTCTGTCCGAAATTTTAAAAGTATGACAAAATTTTAACCATATGAAACAACGAAACCACATAAGGACAGATTTTCAAGAAAATTTTGAACAGTCTTTTGCATGTGTGAAGCGAAACCACATCAGGTTATAGATTCACATTTCCACAAAAGTTTTAAGAAACTTGGAGGAATATCTGACTATTGGAAACATGACTTGTCAAGAAACATTATGTACTGGAATGGCTCAAATTCTTAGTTTAGTGACTTATTAATTGACGATGAGAACAATAATGATAATTATTTGAACTGGTGGTCCTATTAGCTTGGAAAAGGGCTTTTTTCAAAAATTTTGTTGCCAGTCATGTTTAACGATCGTAGACTTTGCTTTAGTCAATTTATACTGCGCATGCGTGGGTCATACAAAATTTATCGGCGTGACAACCTTCCGGACAAATTTGCTACCCTGAAAGTTGTTTTACTCAATGTAGATTGCGATCCAGTCCTCCCAGGTGGTGCCTTCTATTTTGTATATTGATCTTAGCCTCTATTTGGTGCTTTCTGGTGACTGGGGGGTTGTACAATATAGAACAAATACATTCTTTGGCTTTAGTTACCTTGGACATGATATCTTCGACTATCAAAATGGCTAAAATGGCTTAGTACTACAAGAATCCAAGGTTCACTGTTCAAAAAAGTCTATTTCCTTTTCAAAACTGTCAAAAGTTCAAAAAGGAATGGGCCAATTGTTCGTTTAGCTTTTTACCCTGGGTACCAGACCCACATAAATTTGATCGCAGGACTAGAAGATTGGAGTAGAGGAGCAAAGGGATAAATATTAGTGAGTTCTATCAATAACAATTTTAATCGTTTATAAACCACGCTCATATCTAAAGACATACACATTTTGTCGGCAAATCACCGGTTTTGCAGCCCCCCCCCCCCATCAAAATTTTCTAGCGACCGCATTTGCGAAGATCCTCGCTTCTCCGCTTAGTTTTCTATTTACGCGCGTGAAATTGTGTGGCTCTGGTACTTAGGGTACTTGGCTTTCCTAAAATCAAGAAACAGGGCTCTTTCAAGCAAGCTTCGGCAACACCATACTTTGTTAATTCAAAAAGCAACAAATGATGCTCCATTGGCATTTTCAAATCTAAGTAAACAACACCAGACTTTCATCCATGCAAGCACCACTTCAGCGTGCAGATCTCACCAATGTATAAAGATTTGCATTTGGCTTGAAAGGATAATCCAATATTTTTATTAATTTTACGCACATATTTTGGGGTGGTATCATTAAATTTCAAAATCCCTTACTGATACCTCAATCTCAGTTTGGGATAGCCGTAACTAATTATTGTTCTTATTTCGAAAAATTTCTTGACTCCTTTTGCAAATTTCATGTTTCCAGCTATTGCTTTTACTGCATTCTTCTTAAAACTTCAAGCCTGGGAACACAATTTGCTAAATATCACAACATTTACAAAGAGCTGACAATGAGCCTAGGCATTCCTAGTCCGCAAATGATTCAATTATTTATCTCAGCTAGTTTCCTGGGATGTGTGACAAATAATGGTTTCCTGGGATTTATGTCAAATACAGGGTTCCATGAAGTTAATTTCGTTTAAGTTTTTTGTTAAAATTTGCAAGCGAAGAGTTTCTGCACATCATTTTGTTTAATTGAAATTATACTTTTGAAACAACTGAAAAGATTCTGTGATAATAATACTGTCAGAAGTATGTATTAATGTATGAACTTTGCATTTTAGATGTATTCTGAAGAAAGGCTCAGAAATCACGATTCGTTCTCTATTTCCTGGCAAGCAAGAAGGCATTTAAAGTGAAAAGCAATATATCTAGCTACTAGCAGCAATAGAGGATTTGCACGATGAATTCAAAATGCACAAAGCATTCATGCTTTTACATAGTATGCACATGAAGCCGCAAAATGTATCCAGTTGTAATTTATATTGTTTGATTTTCATTACTATTCAGTACAGTAATTATGAACAGTGAGGTAGGAGGCACAAATCTTTTAGTTGTGACTTTTGCTAAAAGCAAGAGATTCCCATAATAAAAATCAACTTTATTCTCGAAATTTATCAAGATGTAATAAGTATTGTATTTTAGGGTTTTCTGTCTATTCAGTCAAGTAATTATGAACAGTGGGGTCGAAGGCAGAAATTTCTTTACCTGTGACTTTTGGTTATTCAAGAAATTTCAATTACAAAAAACTACTTTTTTCCGAAAAGATTCTTTATTAAAACTCCTTAAAAGATGGATAGCTTGATGTTTTCTTTAAGCTCTAATATCCGTCCATACAATTTTTGACTAAGAAAGAAAAAAAAAATTCTCTATTCTTTTGTTAAATAAAGCAAAGCAAAGACCACGATATAGTGTCAGAAACTGATGTGAATTATAGTGTTGTTATTTGATTTAAGCTATTATAGTGTTGTTGATCATATGTCATAAAATTTTCTGGGCTTTGTTCAACAGCTCAGGATTGATATTTTTCAGAAAATTCAATTCGAGCTTAAAGAATCCTCATAAAAAGTAAAGCTTACTAACTCAAAAGACAAGGCCAGAAGGATTTTATCAATACATTCCTACGCTGCAATAATTATATACGATTCATGGATCATTTGACGATATTAAAGAGTGATGTGCAAAAGTTTGTTTTCTAGTTTCCACAACCTTTTTATTTGCTATCCTTTACTAATGGAACACTTTTTTCAACTTCCGTGTTGTTTTATAAAGTAGTGTGTTGCTCGATCTTGGCTCATGCTACTCTTATAGCAGCAGCAAAATGCATCTAAGGAGACAGAAAAACTAATTGCAGAAGCACACAAATGGACCAAGGCAAAGTATGTTAAATCTAATTACGCAAAGCAAACTAAAAACAAGTCCTTACAAACAGCAAACGCAAAGTTTTGCCCAAGGAGTCTTAAAACCGAAATCACTGTCGAAGTAAAGCCAAAATTCATAATGAAACATGAAAATGTTTCTGTTTAAAATCAGATTTTCATAAAATGCCCTTTATAACGTCAAAATCTAAATACTTAGTTTCTAGAGAATCGCTTATCCAAAATTATGATTTGTTCGAATTTTTCATGAATTCAATTTCATAATATTTATCACTTTACAAGGTATCTTAGAGGTTTTCCTTGTCAAAAACAAAAATGATATTACACAGGAAGGCATATTTTCACCTGCAACAATCTAAAACCATCGGCTGCAAGGGTCTCAAATTCCGTAAACAATGTAAATCAAATATTACCTATGTTACATGCGTATTCCTTGCGAGGATGACAAGTACAATTGAATGATTAGAATTCTGAAAATTTTTTCTTGAATATTTGCAAAGCTGGGGATTATTTCATTTCGTTTGGAACTGAGTTAGCAACAGCTTGTTCAAAATGACCAAGAAATAGAATTTCATTTGCATTTTATGAAGGGTCTTTATCAAAACTTATTTAGAAAATATATTTTGCACAAGTTGTTAAATCAGTTCATGTACAGAAAGTGGTTTGGAGCATTCTATAACAAATATCTAATAAAACAAATGATTATCAAGGCAAGTCTTCTAGCATTAGGACTTCTTAGTCGTATTCCACATTTTGAACAAATGAAATCACTTGATGGTTAGTGGTAAGGATGTTCATAAATGTATAGAGTGAGCTGTTTTTTTCCAGTATAAACTAAAAAGACAAAATTTTCTAGCTTTCTGATAAAAGAAAATGCATTATCAAATGCATTTTTTTTACATTATTTTATATAGTTTAATTTTATAAAAAGTATTCACTTGGAATTCAGAGCATTCAAAAATATTCCCAAAGAATTCACAAAATAAAGAACTAATGTTTCAAAATTTTGAGATTATTCTGGCTTGAATGCGTGACAAATCTTAAATAGTTTGCTGGCAGAATAGAAACACCTGAACTGGTTAAAAATTGAGAAGAACGTCTTCTAGATGAGGAATTCTTATAGACAAGGAATTTGTAACATATATAACCTTCGTCAAAAGTTACTGAAATTTAGATACAATCGTTATAAGTCTTCAATGTTTGTTCAATAAAAAGCTTGTACAGAATGATCAATAAATAAAATTTTATTCTATTTTATGAAGCGCATTTATCGTTATAAACCATTGCCGGGTAACGTCCGCCGTTAAGTCTGGCTAGCGAACTGACCTTTGGACTCTATGGCCGTCAGCCGTAGCGTTGGTGATTTCCGATACATGAAAGCCGTAATTTCACAATCACGCTATTCTAACGTCATGCCATTCTTTTATCGACATAAATTACACTGTCTATTATCCTTTCCATAAGTATTCTTTGAATTTTGCCTATTATTTTCCATTGCCTAGCCCCGTTGGCTTTTTCTCAATGAACTACTTGGTCTGAAGTCTTCCTTCACAGTGAACGGAAGAAAGTACGATATTTGTTTCATTCTCGTTCATCATCGTACGCAAATATTCAGTCACTATAAAGTCATCAGTTAAATGGTAATCAATTCAGAAACGTAACAGGATTTTTCGGATATGGTAGTTCAAAGTTTTGAAGGATTTTTTAACAGTAAAAAGAGCGGTATCTGTAAACAACTAAAATACGGTGGAACTTTTTGCCAGAGCGTCTACAGGTGCTGATTTGGGTTTGTCTATCGTGATGGCTAGCCCAATTAAGTAGCTCTGTTTCAGGGCCGTAACTCCCAATGGAGACAAGGGGGAAATTTTTTCCCCAAGAAAAGGTAATTTTTCTTAAATGATGCATTTTCATTTGTCATTTTCCCGCCCTTTTCACCGTTGACGAATTGCGTCAGCTTTTACTCAGCCATAGCAGTGAACATCAGTAGACGTGAGCTTTTCATCGATCTTCAAGCCTTTAAAATGAATATACAAAGTACCTGAGCGCAAAAGAAATTGTTCAATTGTAGTTATTTTAAGAGAATGGTGGGCTGCATTTTCTCTCAGTGGAATTTAGTGATTTATTTTGTCGTTAACACAAATATCAATCCCGACAAGACAAGATTTTAACATTGGCTTGTAAAGGTAAGTTCATATTTGTTAATTATGTAGATAAACCAACTTTTAAGGTTTAAATACTTTAATTTTTCTGTGCTCCCTCCCCCTAATTATGAGGATTTGAAAGGGACAGTTTCAATTCTTTCTTACTAATGATCGCGAAAAATGTTTGCTGAGTACAACGGCAGTTTTTCCATCAATTCATCAAAGATTCAATTCTTTAAAGAAAATTTAGATTATCTTTCAGCACATTTGACACAATTATTTCCTGTGGGTAGTGGTAAAAACATCAAAAATTGGCCTAAATTTAGCTGCAAGGCAAATTTGTTATTATATTGTTGAATTCTGATTGGGTAATGGGATATGCAGAATTTTGGTCGCTCAGCCAATCAGAGATTTGGAACCTATGCTCACAGGATCCTAATAATTCTCGATGTTTTGATGACATAAAAGAGAGAAAAGTGCGCAAAGGTTATAAAATTAATGCAAAGAAGGAAAGAAATGAAAGTTATTTAATCTATGTTCTGACGATTTATACTCCAAAGAGAGTTACTCCAACGGAAAACCTTAGTATGTTTCATAGTGTTTGTTTTTTTCAAAGCCACTTCCACATGCCATAAAAGACTCTGCAAAGAACATACATACGGAATGATCATTATATAACATGAAATCTACCAATAACGATACTTTACACGAACCATTCTGTTTGAAATTCGTAAACCTCAATCTCACATACTTGAAGATATTCTTCCCGGTTCAAGAACACCGTCACATACCGACCAAGCAAAAAAAGCCTCGGACAATCAAACTTTTTCAATTCTCCGATTGCCAACGTTCCATCTTTTACGCAAAGCGCATTGTTTCGCCCGCCACTTGATCTATCATCCCCAACACTGATATCGAATGGATTGATTTTTTCTTGACCCCAAGTTGCGCCACTTTTTATTTGGACACTTGTGACAGCAGCTTGCCTTGTTAGGTCCACTTGCCACCAGGGTACTATGTCAGCTTTTGTGATACTGCATCGCTCCCAGTCTCCAGTTTTGTCACCGTCATTTCCAAAAAGCTGGCAACAAATGTAATTCCACTATATTCATGAGCAGATGAATGCGAGGACGGTTTCTTATAAGCGATATTTCCTTGAACGCCTGGAATTAAAGTCAAATCAAGGAATTTTATTAGTAAAAACATCTTACAGAATACTCCATCTTCTTCTTTACTGTCAAATCGCAACACAATAGTACCAGGATCATACAACGAGGAGCAAAAGTCAATGACTACCCTAGGGCCATTACAAGGAAACATGCACTGCTAACCCATTCAAAAAGGATTGATTGAGGTAAAATAGCCAAGGAATTTATACAAAATAAAATAATTTGGAATGGGATGTGGAGAGGAGGGATGTTCACAACCCCAATCGTAGCTTAACAGAAAGTTTAAAGAAAAGTCCGTTCAGTGAATGAAATGTTTTTGTAATATAAAGACAGTCAAGTACCAAAATCAGTAAAAACTCAGGCATTTGTGACACCTTGGTTGGTAACATATGTTATTTCTGTCTTAATAAAAAAATCAAGCACTCTTTAGGTAAAATTGTGCCTTGTATTGATTTTCACTAATTGTTTTTGGAAGAAGCATCAATTACAATTCATAATGAGAAAAGATCTTTAATAAACGCATAAAAGGATTTACTGTCCAGTTATTGATTACTAACTAAAGCTGTTGATTACATTGCTTTGGAAGTAACAACTCATACCTCTTCT